AGAGATAGGATAGTTTTCATCCTGATAAGTGACACTCAATATTTTTTTTATTACGAATTTAAGGATTTTTTATATGAAGGTTCGTCGAAAAGGGCAGAACAACGTCTACTCGGTCAGCTAATATACTAAATAATATATCCAAAAAATAAATTTTAAATAAATAAATAATCAAAAAATGGCTAAACGAGGTAGATAACTTAAAACTCCACTGCTGAACACAGGCCTCATATATTGCCTCGTATGGGGGATATTTGCCATAGTTGCTACGCTTGGCGATCGAGTTGGCAACCGGTTAATTATTTAGTTGTTATAGGAAGACGCTGCTACTCATCTCCTTGTGTGTTTGCCTCTGTCACCTCTTACGACACCTATGGGACTATATGGGGAAGTGGAATACTTAAACCGCCAACTACACGGTCAAATGCACAAAAAATTACCTAATTCACGCTTATTAACTTGGCGCTTCAACCAAAGCAAATTTTTATGAAGATTTACAAATATTTCATAACATCATAATTTTATCACAAATGGATATTAATTTTATCACATATGGTCAAACTTATTTTGTACTAACTCTAAGGTATCTAAGGAAGGACGAATTGAAATTTGTCTTAAAAGTAAGGGAACATATTGTTTTTATCTAAAGAATTCTATAATATTTTTTTTTAATTTTAAGTAGCAACAACAAATAAATAAATGTTAGTGAAAGTTATTAAAAATGTAAAATCATTTATAAACCTACAATAATAATTATAGAAATAAATATTTAATCCATTACTTTACGTGAAATAAATGCAAGATTCAAACAACAAATTATCAAGTACATCAGAGTAATTGCTCCCTAAAATGTAGCAAATGTTGTCGCGTATTGACGGCTACGGGGGGTATTTCTTTCAGTACTGTTATTTACACCGTTAATCATCCATGAGAGCAATTTGCCGGAACCATAGTCGTTAATGAGATCACTGGAACTATAACGCACCTCCATTCCCTCCGTCTGCCGTTCATATTAATAACTCTAACGTAATACTTCTGACAAATATTTTAGTTAAAATATTTTCTTTTTGAATTATTTTTTTATCTCTTTTTCATTCTAAAAGTAAACTTAAATGAAGGAGAGTTGATTTTGTAAATACAAGAATAATAAATATAAAAAAAAAATAGAATTACCGTTAATAATGTTAGTATAGTTAGCATTTATATATTTTATGTATTATTATATATTATTATATCTTTTATGTATTTTATCGTATAAAATCTAACAAAAAAATATTATTTAAAAAAAAACTTCGTCAATTGTGATCGAAACTTCGAAACTGATCAAAATGTAAATGAAACAACTGTGCAAGTATATGCACTATCCGTAAATAAAAAAAATAAACTAAATCGATTAACTATAACTAACCTCAGATATAGGTTAGAACATATTTTAAGTATTATATACATTAGAAAAGTAGTAATCTAGTTACTAAACAATTTTTTTGAATTCTGTTAGGAAATAAAAGATACAAAACACAACTTTCTCAAAACATAGGAGGTGCTCTAACCCGTTCGAGGAGTAAATTTGTCAATTTTCTACAACTATAGCTTATGAAAACTATTGACCTCGTTCCATGAATATTCAATAGACATGTAAGGGCAAAAACATAGCAACCGCCATTACAATAAATTACTGCTAAAGCAACAGTGCAGTTTTTAGAAGTAGGTAGTAACTATGAAAATTTAAAATGATGATGCTGAAACTTATACCATTATAAAAGTTTTATATTTATAGAGAGGAGGCAAATGAGCATACAGCTCACCTGATAGTAAGTGGTCACCCTCTGGTCATAAACATCTGCAATGCAGAACAAATTGCGGGTGCATTGCCGATCTTTTAGAAAGAAGTAAGATTTTCACTGAAAGGTCCTCTAGAGTTAGTTACTTTTTAATACTTTGGCTGTTGAATCCTCTGAAGCTAGGATAAACACAACGAAATAATTTCTCAGAGAAATTGATTTGAAAAACAAAGGGGATGTAATCTGGGTAACAAGGGTAACAAGCGAGCACACAGTCCACCTGATGGTCAGTGGTTGCTGTGGCACATAGACATCTATATCTATCCTCGATCGCGAATAAAATACAGATGCGTTGTCAGCCGTGAGGACTAGATGGAATGCCTCTTTTCCAGTAAACAGTCTCTGATTCTCTACCATACGAAACACAGCTGCATTAAGCTGCTATTTCACGCTGGTAATCTGTGAGAGCGTGATCCTTCCCCGGTCGAGCCGATCCATTCGTGCAACAACTTTACTATTAATATAGCTGTAGCACGTTTCTCATTCAAATAACATTAACACTTCAGTGTGGTAACGCCACGAAAGTGATAGAAACCTTTTTAAGCTTGGAATAATTTAGGTTGGACCCTCCTTTAATTTATATTTTTGACAGAAGACTAACGTAATTAATAACAATATTGCGTTCATTCATTTGACTTAGAAATTTGCGGATATAATATTTTAATGTATTTTGAGGTACAAATGTAATATTTCTGAGGTAATTCAAAGATACTTATGTCTTGTCCTTAAGCTAGAAATATGCTAATAAATACATAAGTATATACAATAATACTTTATTCTTACTCCAACCTTAAACCTTAAGCAAATCCGCTACCTCATTTCATCTCGTTGGTGTCAGAGGCAACACATGAAAACTGAAACAGGAGACGGGCAGTCGCATCGACCAGAATAATTCAAAATAATAAAAAAAAACTGTGGGTGCCATCACGCCTACCAAGCATGGCAACTATGACAAGTGTGCCTCATGGGCGGGAGCAAATAATATATGTAAAAATGCATTTCATTAACATGTTAAAAGAAGCAATCTGCAAACATCAGCAATGACACACTTACATACTTAAGTCGCAGGCACCGTTGATTGAATTAACTTTTTTTAGTTTTTGACAAGATGTTTAGAATGTCACACATAGGTTTTTATTATTATTATTTCTATTACTACTAATGATATGTTTCCACCTGACTTACTGAGAAAATTATAACAATATTAATTATTTCAGTTGACCGTATGTTTTCCATTAAAATTACACTTTTAAGGGGAATAAAAATGTACTTTGTTTAAATCGGTGGACATAAAAACGGTATACTTATATGATAGTCTTATTTTATTGAACTACTATACAATTTTTATCTATTTATTATGTTCATAATGTATTTGGAAATCGAGTGAGTTTATGCGACTATCTAAAAATAGTTATTTATTTTGTTACCGTTAAATTTAATAATAAAACTTTAACCCTAAATGATACTAAATTAAATTTTTCCGATTTTGTGTCGAATGATGATCGTATGAAATAAAATTAGTCTGCTATTTTATCTTTAAACTTCTACACAGTTACTTTATCACATAATATTATTTTATTACAAGTACAAATCAATAAAAGACAGTAATCAGCAAGTCACGGTAGTAATTTTTAATAGGACGTAAAAAGTTAACAGACATTGACAGTGCGCCCGTTGATGTCTTTTGTAGGCACTACATGCTTTTACATTTGATGACAAAACAGTAATATTATCTTCGTAAAAAAATATAGTCAACCTTAATTAATTCATTTGCGGTCTCAATCCCGGGAAACCATGTAGGTACCTTACATTCATTTCGACATACTGGTGAAAATTGAACAAGAAAACAAAAGTGTCTTGCCGACACACTTATATGCTATAATTTCACGGTCGTTTGTTGTAATTTCTAGTGACGTTATAACTTAAATTGGTTAATTCTAACGTGTTACACCTGAATCCAAAACATATTATACCCAGACACCGATATTTTCAACTGAAACCCATGTAACTTACCTCGGGTCGGAAAATTAATAAGAAATCTCGCCTACCCTCACAAGTCACTTAGCACTTATATGAAATTCAAGATTAGAACAACAAATTATAGTTGCGCCACGCACGTGTCGATAGGAAGGCTGTGTTAGCACGACGTGTGATCAGAACGATGATCGCGAGAGACTGGCGCGCCGCAGCGTCTGCCCAGCACCTGCCGCCCGGCCCCCTCGCCTAGTGCTGTTAGTGCAATCCTCGATATCGACAATATTTATAAAAATTACTTATATACATTGGAAAAAATACTTATTCGCATTTCGAATACTAAAGAAAACTTCAGAGGTATAAACTTCTGAGACACTTCCAAATTATGCACATATTTTTATCATAAAACCTACTTTGGCATTCAACCAATCTGCTTTGAATGTTTAATGGAAACTTCAATGCAGAAAGATAACAGACTTACTTTAAAAGAACTTTATTTAAGTAGAATCAACTAAGAGTCAGGAGAAATTCTGGATAATAAATAAATATGAAACTCGCTTTAAACAGTAATTTATCGATATTACGATTCATCGGAATCCTCCATTACACACGTATATAGTATACATCGACTGATTAAATTAATTATCGTCTCACGGTGCTACAACTGTCGATTAAAAAATATTTTACATCTCTGTCTTGCACACAGATAAGGAGGTTTGAATATTATGTTTCTAACTTTCTTCGGCACGCACTATAAAAATTACAATCTTTGGCAGTAGCGCGTGCCGAATGTGAAACGGGATGTTTTCACCTGCGACTTGTGAATGAACTAAACTGTTACCGGTACCTTTTGATATGTATACGGTGGACAATAAAACTAACAATATCACTGTTTGGTTCAGAAATTCTAGCCCCAATATTTATGGAATAGAGTCGAATTTTGTATTTTACCAGTATGAATCAGTGATAACAACTAGTGCTGCTAAACTAACGTCGTTGTCGATAATAAACTAGGTCGAAGACGAACATACGCTAAACTTTAATGTTTACATCGTGTTACTAATGAAACCACGCGTGCAGCTTTCCGCAGCATTTCTTTTACACACTTAGGAGGAGCAATAAAATACGTAAATATTTATAATATTTATATTTATAACAAGAAAACGCACATAATATGAAATCGAATTGTCATGAATTTTCGGTTTCTTTGTACCTGGAAAGAAAAATATTAGAGTTAAAATAAAATATAGTAATGATATGTTAATATAAAAAATAATGTCCATATCTGCGCTTAAAATAAACACTTGCCCTTTAGCAGTGGACTGTTTGCCATTTATACATTATTTACCAAATTATTCTTCATCAGCACATTAATAAAGACCACTGCTAAAGGCTGCTTTCTTTCATATCATAAAAAAAACCGAATTTACTAGATGTGTTTGCAACAAAATAATAAGCCTTTTTATTTGATATTACGGTTTTGATATAGAAGGTGCCATCTTTATGATTTTTCTTGTCGAGCTAAATATTATGAGTCAGGTCTTCACACTACAGAAAAAAATAGAATATTTTTTATTCAATATAGGTGTAGTATAAATAAATCTTATAGAAATTAATTTTTTTACTTTTACCACTGGTTTGGAAAAAATCTCTATCCTGGAAAGAACCAGCAATCTTTATTTATCTCATTCCCGGGGTTATTGTCAATGATGTATTTATTTACATTAAAATAAAATATAATAACCCTTTTATACAGTCTATAATAAATAGAGAGACCTTGTATATTTTCAGGGATTTTCTCGTAAAAGATGTAAAAGAAGTAACTGGTATCACTACTTTGTGTTTGTTCCTAGTGTTTATACAAGAAGTTTCATTAAAATTAATTTTGCTGTTGTGAACATAAATTTAATTTTTTATAAGTAAATATATTATGGTACCATGTGGTGGCAGTATAAGAATATCCACTACACCATATCATCCCGTGGGTGTCGTAAGACACCAGAGGGTATCAAATCAGATGTACAGCATCGTCTTCCTAATAACAACTAAAAATAAAAATAAACTGTGGTTGCCAACCTGTTTGCCAAGCGCAGCAACTATGGAAAATATCCCCTCTATGAGGCAATCTAGGGGGGACGCCTATGTTTAGTAGTGGCCTTTAATAGGCAGCGGTAAATATACTGAAGACAATGTTAATAAATTTATTTTTCTGTTTCTAAATCAGTCGCATTTCCCCATATCAAAATCCCATAAAGCATTATGCTATGGAAACAAGTGAAGTAAATTGAGCTGCAATGCTTTGTTCACTTGATAGTTTAAATGTGGTAGACCCACTGAAGTTTGCAACAAGAAGTATACCGAGAAAAACAGTGGAATCGACAAGACTCAATTCTTTACCATTTTTTTTTGTATAGGATAGGGTGACAAATTAGCACACAATCCACCTGATGGTAAGTGGTTGCTTTGGCCCATAGACATCTACATCTGTCCTCGCTTGCGAATCAAAATGCAGATTCATTGTCACCCGTGAGAACTAAGATGGAATGCCTCTTTTCTAGTAAAAAGGGTCTCCGGTTCTCTACACTCATCATACGATACACAGCAGTTTTAAGCTGCTATTTTACACTGGTATTTTGTTCCAAACCATTTCAAATTTTACTACTTGTAAATTTTATAAACTTAGTTTTATTGTTATTTGAATGTAAGTTGTAAACACTAAGCCAACATATCTACTTATTTTGTTATAGCATTATTAACTTCATCATATTTAAATGCTATATCGTGGTTATCACCTACAAGTTAAGGTTAATTATTAATATAGACTATGAACACGATATTTTCTTATAATTTTTTTAAAAATCTCTTTTTGAGGTTATTTTTTCGTAATGTTTTTGGTACAAGACTGTTGGAGGAAGGTAGCCCCACACCGAGGAAAGCTCTATCGACGGAGCCCCGCAAAGCGAACTAGCCCACAGAGCAAACTAGCACATATTCCACCTGATTAGTTTGTCAGCCTATCCTATAAAAAAAAAAATTATACAGTAAAATACGGTAGTAGTGTAAGAGATTGGGGTTAATGTCGCCGAATAAAAAAAGTTAATCATTCAATCCTATTGTTGCTTGAAAATAAAAGAATTAATTAATTTTTTTTAGAAATGAAACATCTCTATTTCTAAAAAACCTATTTAACTATTGCTTATCGCAAAAACGTCACATTTTCTTGTAATGTTTCACCACTGAGGCTGCATGAGTATACTATTATTTAAGCTACTTATTAAAATATAAAATAAATAAATAATGATGTCGTAAAGAAGTTTCACTTCATACGTGTGTACACAATTACACATACAATTTTTTCAACATAACAGAAAGCACCAACATAACACGAGTACAAGCAATGAAATAAAAACAAAATAGCAGGTGGTGTCAAAAAAATATGTTCCTTTTCACTAATCATCATTCAACATTAAACAACAAACATTAACATTAACAAATTTTTAAAACCTTAAACAAATTATATCACTAAAATTATGAATTTCTGTATTTAGACATTTAGTCATCTGATACATCTTTACTAACATATTCTACCATAAATTTGTACTCATCTTCTTAGGGGTTGCCATTTCTAAAACTGAGCCAAAGAAGAGCCACAATCTATGAGAGAGAAGCCAGCAGTGGACTTATGATAGGATGTATTGATGATAATGTGATTAGTGATATTGAATGATCACTAGTTGATTCTTTTACATCACATAATAGGGGCGAAAGACAATCCACTACCTCATATCATGATGTGGTTGTTGTAAAAGTCGACAGAGGGAATCGAACAGGAGATAGGCAGCAGCATCCTCCTGATAATAACTGAGATAATAAACAAACTACAATTGCCAGACCACCTGCCAAACTTAGTAACAATGGAAAATATTCCCCTATTAGCAAACTAGGGTTGGATTTAGAATCATTTGGCATGAATTTGGTGGAGTAAGGTGTTTTATTTGGTAGAGATTTGGTCCCCGATTACAATAATACCACTCACATTAAAAGGTAATGCACCGTTATCGAAAAAACGAATAAAAACTATTATAACCTAAAATGCGTAAAACATGGAAAAATTTGTGTGAAAGCTGGATAGCATACAGAATTTTGTGTAAGTGCAACAAGACATAAGACTAGTATCACATTATTCTACTGTCTATACTCTCTCTCAAGAGATATTTCACTAAAGACAACTACAATAATAGAGAAAATTTTACAGACTTGATATATGAATATTTATGGAGAAGAGAAATTGTAAGGAATAAAAGAGATCCTTTTGAGGAATTAATTTAAAAAAATTATGTTTACAGACAATAAAGAGATGATTATAATATACTGTTTTATCTCTGAATTGTTTAAAATTGCCCAGAAATACTTGAACACCCAAAAATAATTTCAGTTGTAATAGGTTAGAAGGTTGTGGAGGGAGCGAAGGCAACCTGATTTTATAGATATCTGATCTGATCTGATCGAATCTGTACTAATATTAAACCAGCCCGACTCCACTTAGTCTTGTCTGCCCTATTCCTAGTGTTTTTGTAAAGCCGTAGGCACGGAGGGAGAGCAGCCACCGCCCGCTGTAGCAAATCGCAGGCACCTGTGCGAGCCGTAGTGGAGGTGAGCATGGGTGCCTCTGATTCGCTACGCAAGGGCGAAGGGTCTGCACTTCCCACAGCGCCGAAGCCGTTGTATAAGTAACTTTGGGTCAATATTCCTGTGTAAAAAAGTGAGGTCATGATTTTACAAAAAGAAAATCATTAGTCATAAACTATACTTTTCCGCAACGAGGGAAGGGTAGAGTCTCCTACCGGTGACGATAAATGTTACTTTCAGGTTAGGTCTATGGGATTTTCTTTTTGATTTTTCTCAAGAACAGTGTATTACCTTTTAATGGGAGTGGTGTCGGGAGTAAGGAGACGCTCCCCCTTCCCCTCCCTTCAACCCCTGCCCCCTTCTCCTGCCAAACAATTCTAAATTTCAACCACAAACTATGTGGGGGAGGCCTATGTTTATCAGTGGACTTTTGATAGGCTGTAATGAAGTAATGAGTGATGATAATGATAATGATGATGATGAGATAAAGTAGTAATGGTAATTCACTGAAAATGAACAACAGCTGTAAAATCATAGTAAAAATATAATATAGTATTCATTAATGAAATCGTAAACTTACTTGCAAGCTATACATGTATAAAATACAGTTTGTCCTTCATCAGCTGACCGCAGCTGCAATGTTGCATAAGACATTCTATCATTTCCACATTTGGGACACTTTCTTTCCACAACAGGCCCTTCTGGATCGTCCCTATTCAGTATATTTTCATGAGTTACAACGGAGACAGAATTAAAATGAATTGTGTATTGAAACTTTAAGTTACTGAAATCTGAAAATATTTATACAAAATAAAATAAACTTGTACATAAATGTTTTAATTGTAATACCCATTACTATTAAATCTTTAACTTTATCAAAATAATACTTACTTTCGGCATCGTAAACTGTTTCACAAGCATAACATTTTACTGATCCAAATTCTTGAAGAAGAGGTAATATAGATCCACATCTAGCACAAAATGCTGTACTACCCGAAAATGGCCCTGCGTCAGTCATTTGCTTGCAGATAAAATAATGTGTGAAAGTAAAGATGGTAATAATGGATATTAATTATTAAGGCAAATTATTCACCCTATTTACATTACATATATATTTATCGATGATTTACATATATATTTAATGTGTATTTATAAACTTTTTATGCAATGAAAATCTTTGGTCACTCCATGCTTTGATTATAACCTTACAGCTCTGGGTTCTAGCGCTTCTGAGCCTGAAGTTACTATGTATAATTATCTTTAAAAATTAGAAATGTCACGAACGATACATTCATCAAAAATATTCACTTTCACACTAATTCACAAAGAGTTTGCTTACGTTTGCACCAGGGGCAGTAATCATCATAGAGAAAATATTGGACATGAGATTACTGATAAATTTTCGTGTGGTTGCGTTGATTTATTTCCGCCCTATCTAGCATTACCTAGCATTTTTCTTTGCATTTACTTGTATCAACCTATTGCCTTTTACTGTAGTGACGGATCAACATCTACTATTGAAGTGAAAAATATTTTAAAAGAAATTGTTGTGGCTGTTGGTGAGACTAGACTTATTCCACTAAAATTAGTCTCATAGATCAAAGGGCTACATTCAGATCTGCTCTTAAACTACTGCAAGAAGAAACTAGAGCAGTTCAAATACGAGAAAATTAAAACACTGTAAAAAACTTTACCGCCACGTTTACTTTTAATAGAATTGCCTTATTATATTTTTAGATGATCTGATACATATAAGTGCATATTTGATCCACAACATTTAATCAAAGGAATGCGAAACAATTTTTTATAAAAAAATGTATAATACCAAGAAAATATTTCTACATGGACAAATAAGAAAGACTGTGATTCTCCGTTTAACTTAATGCACTTTTCCATTCGCGCAAACCAATCATTAAAACAGTAATTCCAGTCTGAGGTTGATGTTGACAAAATGGCTGATTTGTACGCTTCCACAGCTGCGTCGGGGTCTTCAAAGCGTTGACTGTGTAATAAATCTTTCATTCTAGGGAATGTAAAGAAATCGTTTGGGCTCAGGTCAGGACTGTACGGAGGATGGCTCATCAGCTCAACCTTTTCCTGCTTCAAAAAATATCTGTCTTCCGAGCCGTATGTGATCTCGCATTATCGTGACGTAAGATGATGCGACGTTTCGGGTTATTTTTTCGGAGTTCGGCTATCATTTCTGGCAAACAAACCATGATATATACCACTCAGCGGTAACCGTTCTGCGTTCCTGTAAAGGAATTGTATCAACATGCACCTTGTCGAGACAAACGTAGCGACCATTTTCTTTGACACGCTGCGGGAGCGAACCACTTTCGTTGGTTTGACCTCTTTTTCAAAGATCCAAACTGCTGACTGATGTCTTCTTTCAGGTTCGTATGAATAAATCCATGATTTGTCACCTGAGACGATATTATAAACGGCATTTGACTTCCCTCCGTTGAAGCGTTGCAGAGTATTCCGGCACCAATCTACACGAGCTGCCTTTTGCTCTTCGGACAAATTGTGGGGAACCCAGTGGGAAACTAGCTTTCTTACACACAGCTCATTAGGTATGTAATATTGACTGAATTGCAGTCATTCCGATACTGATAACAGCCCGAATCTGCTCGTATGAAACATGACGGTCAACATCATAAATCGAAACAAGTTCGCTAAGACATTTATCTTGAGACAAGCCGCAACAAAAATTGTGATAAATTATGGCACGGAAATGTTCACGCGTAGCTTACGCGTGAACATTTCCGTGCCATTTCTGTTAACGACGTGTCAACTTTAAACCAACATTGTTTTTGTTTTTAAACTTTTTTTTTAATTGTTTGAATGTCATTAAGATTCCAAGAGGCCAGTATTCAAATTCTAAAAAAAGTTTATTGTAACTCAATCCGAAATATTCTATTCCCGATCATTTTAGAGTGCACCTCGTAGATCAACTTTTTTCTTTAATTGCTAATAGAATTACAATTAATTACTATATCAAATTAATGTTTTGTACAGAGAAATCCTACACAGATGGAACTTAACTTTTCTAATTTAAATTGTACCTAGATCTGGGAGTTATTCAAATTGTGAAATGGTTTACAAATTTTAGAAACAAAATTGTATTTCTTTATGGAATATTCTAAGCCACTTAAAATATACTATAAAATAATCTTCGACCTTAAAAAAATATTATGTAATAAATTACATAATTTACTTTTCATTACACATTGAAATCAAAATAATGAAGCTTAAATAATAAGGATATGAATATACAAGTAGCACTTCCCTTGTATTAATAGTTTTCCATCTATAAAATGAGTAATGGTAAAAGATTGAAATTAACATTTTTTTCCTGTTTTCTTATAGATAAAACACAAAAATTCAGTTCCCCTAAAACTGATCACTTGATTAAATTCTCGACAATTTTTTAGAAACATAATTTATAATTGTGTTCTTATTTGTTTTACTCCACGGTTGGTTTGATAATGTTAAAATTCCCTATGTGAATACCACTGTGTACTTCAATTTATATCTTCTCAACCAATATTCTTTTTAACCTGAGTAAAAAAAAAGTAATCTCTGTCATCAATTTTTTAAGCGGTAGAGCCATGCCGGAAGAAGAACCGGAGACCCTTTTTACTGGAAATGAGGCATTTCATTTTAGTCCTCACGGGTGACAACGCATCTGCATTTTGATTAGTAATCGAGGATAGATATAAATATGTATGGGCCACAGCAACCACCTTCCATCAGGTGGACTGTGTGCTCGTTTGTCACCCTTATCCTATTAAAAAAGAATCCTCTTTTCTCGTCTCAAGTCTTCTTGGCTGTCTCTTTGCCTCATTATTTTATATTTTTTACATTATTTTATAAATATTTATTTACAACTTGTTCCCAAAACTTTTTATGGCACTATGCAATATTTTCCTCACTTTGGTAATGTGTGTATTTATTAGGTCTTATATTTATTATGAGTTTATTACTAACGGTGGCCAGCTCGCCTCTCAAGGTCGCCATGTAATGACGTTATTAAATGAGACAACCTGTATCTGCCAAGTGCTGTTTATTACTACATTAAATTTATAATTGATATTACATTAGTGGATACTTAGAGCCACAATACAATTGTATAAAGGTTAACAAAGTCTGTTGTAAGCAAATAGGAAATGTCTTTTGGCGAAATACTTGCAGGTGCAATAACTGTAAAAGTATTTAAATTAAAAATATTTTTTTTCAGATTATTTTCATTATGCAAACTCTGACGCAACAATGGCCTCAACAGCAGAAGTTGTTGAATTTTTCGACACACTGACAGCGTCAATGGCTACCCGGTTGGTGTGCAAAGAGGAAAGTTAAGACAAGTGGTTAAACAAAATTTACAACATCACACTTTTTGGATTGAAGCCATTAATAAAATTTAAAAAAATGGTTTTTGTAGACACCATGCTATATAGTATGCAATTTTTCTCTTGATGTAGTCATGGAAAAAATTGAATACCACTGCTCAGCTTATACTGCTGGATACATTTGTCGGAAAATATCGAAAGGTATTCCTTGTAAGGATTGCATCAAAACAGCAGTACAGAGACAAATATTCACTGTTACATAAAATCTAGAGCATAAATTGTTGAAAAATAATAATTTGGCATACCCTAACGAAAAATTACTTATCTTGTACAGGGATGGTACTCACTTTATTCTTAGATATTTGAATTATAGCTGTATCGCAAGTAATGTTAAAAGAAAAATATTGAGCACTTTGAGTTTTTCCTGGCTAGGATATAATAAGCATGCCTTAATTGTAAAAAAACTTTTATTAATATTTTAATAAGGTTACACGGGCACAATTGGTATATAAAATTGGCAATAATAAAATATGATGGTGATATTCATCAAAAATTAAAATATTGAAATTTTGACAAAGATTGTAACTGAATCTTTAGGTGACAAAGGCTTGCTTAATGTCCAATCTCTGTAAAAATATAGAGAAGTTGAATGTTAAACAAATAAATTTATTATTAATGTAATTAAAACAATTAAAAAAATGGCCAAGTTTACCCTAAATGAAAAATTAATAGGATGTCTACTAATGAAACAAAGCTCCAAACACTACAAAATTAGAAAAAATGTTTGTCATGCCTAACAAACAAATGTTATATAGACCAAATAATAATTTGGCATACCCTACCGAAAAGTTCTTTATCTTATACAGGGAAGGTACTCACTTAATTCATAACCATTTGAATTATAGCTGTTTTAAAATTAATATAGGTAAAAAATAATTTGTAAAGTAAAATATTACTTACACTATGATTAAATATGATTCCTGTGGTTTAATTTCTTTAATTTGCTATTTGCTTTATCTAATTAACAATAAATATTGTTCTGTTTTCGTCAAATTCTGCCTATATACAATGTTATATACATTTTTAATATAACCCAATGTACCTTTAATTTAATCCTAAGAGTACGTGTGTATGTATATGATATTGGTGTGCTTGAATAAAAATAAATGTTTATGTACCAAAATTGTTTCATTAAGTAATATTTTAATATAACTATATAATGCGTCGTTACGTTGATATCGATAAAATAAGAACATCACTAAATATCGATATCGATGATTTGTAGGATGTGTGCTTGCAATCTCTAAGCTATATTTTTTTTTATTTATTTATTTTATTACTCATCTGTCAAAATGGGCGACTGCAGCGCCAAAAGGCGTAGTTGGGAAACTTGACTAAAAGTCACTGTCGTATCTGTAGCTTGCTACATATATATTTATTTATGGTAATATTCGATGTATTACTTTTTGGAGGTGGGCAAAGTGTATCATTTTTGCGATTGGAACATTTGCATCTTGATCACTGAAATGTTCCGAAACACTGATATGTTTCATTTGGATCATCGACTCAAAAGATATAAAAGAAAGAATGTTCCGAATAGGTACATTAAGTTGCGTCGCGGGCGTTTATTACTGACTGATCCGTGAAATGTTATGTGGCAATAATG